CATCCTGACTGGCTATGCTCCCACAAAGCCAGCACATTAAGCAGGATCAAAACCCCGTGCCATTGTCCTTTGCGTCTCATCAGCCCTCATTGTTCGCCATGTTCAGAGAGTCCAGTTTTATCCCATGCTTTTTCAGTCACAGTCCAGCTGGCCTTGGGATCTTGGGGGTGGGGTGGGATGGGGGTAAGGGGAGATGGGGAGAGAAAAGTTAGAAGGGAAGGTGAGGGGGCCTTGGGGAAACAGGAGGATTGGGATAAAGTAAGGTTGGACAGGGGAGCACGGAACCACAATTCTTAGTTAAGGGAGCCACTTTAGGGTTGGCAAGAGACCTGACCCTAGAGGGGCTCCCAGGTGCCCAAGCCAAGGTCCCCAGTTAGTTCCTTGGGCAGCTGAGGATAGGGAACCTGAAATGACCCTATCCTAGAGCAATAATGACGAATATCTTGCATATCATCATAGAACCTTCATCTGGTGATGGATGGAGATAGAGACAGAGACCCACACTGGAGCACTGGACTGAGCTTCCAAGGTCCCAATGAGGAGCAGAAGGAGGGAGAACATGAGCAAAGAAGTCGGGACCACGAGGGGTGCACCCACCCACTGAGACAGTGGAGCTGATCGATTGGGAGCTCACCAAGGCCAGCTGGACTGTGACTCAGGGATTTTTCTAATTCTGGATTGATACTGATGCTGGAGTGGTCAGAAGTGCTCATAATATTTCAGTTGTAGGTGCAAAATATTTCAGTACAGGTTATTTCATATGCTCTTTTGGGGTCCTAAAACATATCCTAATGACACTCGGCATCTCATAGGCTCAAAGCCAGGGTCTCATCCATTTTAGGCAAGCCCTCAACTACTGAGTTATATACCCTTAGAGTTTCTCTCTGAATTTAGAAATTATGCTGATGTTTTTGAGAAATAAATTAGAGATTTCTGTTTCATTCCTCAAATCAGATCAATGTTTTTAAAATTTTTATATTATGCTTTGAACATTAAGTTCATTGTTTTTTCTAGATCCTATGAGAAAAGTTATCTTTTTTTAAATTTACACATTCATAAGAACATTCTTATTCTAACTCACTTAGCTTCATATTTAATAGAAAATTTCTAGTTTTGGAAAAAATGTTCATTTTCTCCTCTGTATTATTTCTAACTACCGAGAGCTACTAATTTGAAATGGTGGTGACTATAAAGTATCCTGGTATTGCAAATGTCTTTTGAACAGAAATTGCATTTGCATTCATCCAGTGCTTAAAGGGTATAAGTTTTCTTCAAAATCTCCCTCCTTGTTTTCCTTGCATTATCTTTGACATATGTCATTCAGTCTTAGTGATTTATCATCATTTATTTCATATGTCTGTCTTGAATAACTTTGAGTATTGGCATTAATTATCCAGTTACCAATGTGTCCTCTCAGGGATAATATCAAAGTGTTAAACACGATAATATATCCTGTTATAAACTTGAAGTAAAAAATCATGCTATGTATTATTTCTTTACTCACAATTATCTACGAATTAACTAAAATTTCCTTTAGATGCCCAAATTTTGTATATTCTTGTTCATTTCATCTCTTTTGAAAGTCCAGGATGTAGTGAAGACAGTAATATTTGTTACATACCTTATACCTTAGAATGTTTATTGCACAGAATAATTGCTCAATATTACTTATTAAGTGATTGAATGAATTCTTGGTACTGTGCTTGTACATTTTACATAGTGACTGGATCTATTCTAATACTAAACTAAGCAAAACACACTGCTTTCCATAATGTGTAAAATATGAATCATATTACCAGTTTTCTGGGAATGCTAGAAATATCAAATGATAATTTAAGCAGTTCCTGGATGTTGTGTGCGTATTTCTTGGGAGAAATGTAAACCAGCACCTCATTTCAGAAAGAACACCAATGACAGACCAAAGTAAGGATTCTTCCTATCTCTACCTAGGTGAACCAATGAGTTTATTGGACTTCCTTCCAGATCATGAATGGGATCTACTTGCAGGATTGTGGGGCATACCCCCATATAGCCACATCACTAAATATCTCACCACAGAATAGTTGATGCCTTTCCGACAACTATAGAGATGGTGTCCCCTCTTCAATTAACCTTTGGTTTTCTATGCTTCTCCCTGAGACCACAAGCAGCTTGAGCAGAATTACAATATAACTAGGAGTGGGACACAGAAAAGAGTGGTAGCAATTCTTGTGAGGATCTGATGACCTTTCTTATCCCTTCCTTTTATATTAGAGAATATCGACAGGCTGAGTCTTGGGGGTTTCTTCTGTGCAATTCTAGCTACTTTGATAAGATATTCATGGTTAGTATGATCAGAGAACAATATTCTATCACGGTGATAAATGCTATTTAATTCTCGTTATTAGGTATTATTTTTATCTATTGTTATATCGAGACATTGAAGCACAAAGATTTTATTTTCCAAGTATAGAGGAAGTTATATTGGAAGAATTTTCTGAACTTCATAGCTGTTCTATGTCTATTAACTTCTTTTGAAACTCAATGTTCTTGCCAAAACCTTTATAAGCATTATTGTGCCTAACATTCATGTATATTTAGAGAACTTTGTATGCTTCACATGTTTATTACTTCGAATGTCTTTCAATTCTTTGGAAGATTATTTCACTTCTTAAACTTGGTCATTTATGGTCCATTACACTTAACAAGTATCCATGTCCTCAGGACATCTTTATACTGGAGCCTATGCACTGTTTTAAATAACTTCAAAAATTTTTATTGTCTTAGTATCATTTATTTATTTTGTAGTGCTAGGAATTAAACCCGAGGTCTCCCATATGCCAGGGAAGCACTCCACCACTGAGTCAGCCCCTGGGTAATTCTTAAAATATTTCCTTTTCTAATTTTTTTCTTAGTAAGGAATTTAGAGTATCTTTCTCCATCCTTCTTAATTATAGAGTCTCAATTAATATTTGGTTTGATTTGAAATATAAGGGATAAGAAAAATACAGTATTTCTTTGTGATAGAGTTCAGTTTATTTATTTGGACCAAAACAGGTTTACTGAATACACTCTTTTTTTTATATAAATTTTTTATTTATTAAAGATTTCTGTCTCTTCCCTGCCACCCAATTCCCTCCCTCTCCCCCAATCAAGTCCCCCTCCCTCGTCAGCCCAAAGAGCAATCAGGGTTCCCTGCCCTGTGGGAAGTCCAAGGAACCCCCACCTCCATCCAGGTTTAGTAAGGTGAGCATCCAAACTGCCTAGGCTCCCACAAAACCAGTACGTGCAGTAGGATCAGAAACCCATTGCCATTGTTCTTGAGTTCTCAGTAGTCCTCATTGTCCTCTATGTTCAGCGAGTCCAGTTTTATCCCAGGCTTTTTCAGACCCAGGCCTGCTGGCCTTGGTGAGTTCCCAATAGAACATCCCCATTGTCTGAATACACTCTTGGGATGGCAGTCTTGGCAGTGACAAAATACAACCTTCAGTTAAAAAAAAAAAAAAAGAGGTGACTGTTTTGGAATCTTTTTGTCCAGTATTGGTGACCAAACCCAGGACCTTAAACTTGCTAGGCAAATGCTCTATTTTGACCTAAATCCCCACCTCTTACCATTGGGTTTAATAAATCATTTTACTTACTAATTCCCAGTACAAAGTTCGGTTTAAGGTTTAAGTCCTGTTCTTTCTGTGTTTCATCTACAAGGCAAGTGCGATTTCTCTTAGCACAAACATTTAAATTAACCCTCTATGAACACAAAGCCATCCAGAGGAATTTCTTCTCTTCCCTGTATTGTTTGTCAAAGTATAGCCCATGACAGATCGATTTTCTTGTGGCAGAGATTTCTCTGAGACTGCATGGTGCCTTGTTCACAAGATGTGACTAACACGCACAAAATGTTGAAGTTGAAGATAAGGGGACATGCCAAAGCATTCTGGTTCTTTTCCCCAGACTTCATTGAGTATTAGTGAAAGGACTTGAACGACTCTTTGGGAGTGGAACAGATAGTGGAAACCAGAGCAGCAGCTTAAAGGGCTCACTACTTATCTGCCTAAATAGATTGGGTCAGATTATGGAGGCCCCAAGCTACCTCATAAATGACTTTCATCTTTCCTTGGCCTCTACATTAAACATCTAAGTTGTAAGAAGGAACTCCTAAACCCCAAGATTGATTGGCTTCCAATTCCCAGCATTACATCGTCAGAATTCCATTTAAACCAAAACCTGTATTTCAAAAAATACTTTCTAAGATTGCTTGGTGATCAAAGCATTTTTATCATCCAATACTGACGTGATGAGAAGAAACTGGAGATATTTTGGAGTTCTTGGAACAACTTCAAAGAGTAAGAGAGCAGAATGTAGAAAGCTCTTCTTCCATGTTTGGAAGGCAGCACATTGACTGAGACTCGCAGTAAGGAGAAGCTCCCTTGAAAACATTTAAGCTCTTTTCCTACTTTGGGCTTCTAAAGGATAGCAGAATTCACGTACGCCTCATTCTCACTACTGAACTCATTTTTTCTCCCCAATGACTCTATTAACGTATTAGCATGGAAAGATGATTCCTGAGGCATTTGTTTCTTAGTCAGTTGCCCCCTAATCCTCCCAAGAGCTGTTTCTATACATCTTGAAAAGAGTTCTTTCATCCCCACTTCACATTTGTTTGTTTTTGTTTTGCAGAACAAGAAGAGGAAGCAATCTGAGAGATTTGGGGTCTGGGAAGGAGACACAGAGTCCAAGCGACCTCTACTTAGCCTGGTACCTCTTCGCTAAGATTTTGGTACCCAAAACAGCGGACCCTGGATTTAGCATCCTTTCTTGGATCCTCGGTTTTCTTTAAACAAACAGTGGGCACATTTCAGCGTCTTCTCTGTGTGCACGACACCTTCTAGCCACTGGCCCTGGGTTTCTTCCCACCATCTCCCTGGCCCCCCCCTCCCACCCCCAGCCTGCGCATGCGTCCTAAGAACCCCCTCCACTCGCGGCCCAGAGTATTGTCGGGGGCTATTCTCTCTCCCAGGAACATGGCGGCGAGTCAGGGAGGCGGTGGGAACAGTGGGGGCGGCGGCTGCGGTGGAGGTGGAAGTGGCGGTGGCGGTGGCGCGGCTGGAGGAGGAGGAGGTGGTGGTGGAGGAGGAGGAGGTGGCGGGGCCGGGGCGGGAGGAGGTGGTGGCTGTGGCGGGACCGTGGCGGTGCCCATCCCGGTACCGACTCTTTTCGGTCAGCCGTTCCCCAATGGGCCGCAGTGGCACCCGGGGAGCTTGCAGCCTCAGCACACGGTGAGGAGCCTGGACCGGGCCCTGGAGGAGGCGGGGAACTCTGGCATCCTGAGCCTCAGTGGCAGGAAACTCAGAGACTTCCCAGGCAGCGGCTACGACCTGACGGACACCACCCAAGCAGGTGACAGGCTGGGGGGAGGGGAAGCAGGGCCTGGAAGGAGGATGGGAGTGGGTGACTGCGTGGCTGCCTTGTTGGATTCTGCTGGGCCGGCGCGCAGGGGCAGCGGGAGTCCCGGAATCCTAGCAGCCTCCTCTGACTGTGAGGGGCAATGCAGGCAGCGGGAAAGAGGGGCGCCAGCAGCCCTGGGATGATGGAGAAGCTGGCTGGGATATTAGGGGCATTATTGTTAAAGAGTGTTGTACCCAGAGTCTTGCACCCAGACAGAAAGGATTTATTGACAGCTTCCTTAATGCACTTCCTTCAACTCTTGGTCCTATCTTCCTCCACCTTAACCGTGAGTAGGTGGGAGGAGGTGAGGGGAGTTGGGAGCAGACAATGCCGAAAAATCATAATCTCTACATATTCCTTGAAAGGCATTGGATAGTCCTTTTCAGAGTAAGGCTTGTTGTTTGTCTGTGTTCTTCTGGTCGATTTGTTTAATCATTTTAGGATATTTTTGTTTCCTTTTTATCTCATCTATGCCTTATAGAGTGACTTTTATTTTCATTTTCTTGGTGCTGAGAGGTGATGGTGGTTAGATTAGTGTTTGTTGCACTAGCAAATTAAATCATCAATCACTTAAGTGTTGATTACCGGGTGAAAGGTAGTCTATTTTTGAGTGTTGTTGGTTTGGATTTTTATAGCAGAAAGCTAAAAAATGTCTGGGTATTTTTGAGAAAACAATTCCATTTCTTATGGGGTTGATGGTTAATGGATTGCCCTATACTCTGTGTTAGTCTTTGTTGTGGCTGGCATCTTGGTGGTGGTGCTGTGAATTCACTCTCCTTCTAAACCAGTGCTGCTTATTTTTATATTTGTTTAGGTTTGCTGAAAGTTTTTTCTCTTCATAATATTTATTTTTATTTTTTGCTTTATGTGTCCCATCTACTCTGCTGAAATAAATTGTGCACCAAGATATTTGCATGGATGTAGTGATTTTGAAGCACCATAGTGAGAAGCAGTAAATATCCATATTTACAAACAAGACAATTTAAGTGCATTTGGTTTCTAGACATCAAATCAAGATATGTGTGCAGGCAGAAGACAGCAAAAGAAGGAAAAAAAATCTAAAATTGAAGCTTCCTATGCAGTAATTCCCTCAAGCAGCATTTAAGGAACTATGAATGCAGAATCAATACTGGATTATGTATTATGGTAAACTGGTTTGAATGTTTACACCTTTACTCAGAACAGATTGCCCAAACACTACTCACAGACTCATGGATAGATATTGGCAAGATATGCTCCTTGGTGTGTGCCTCAAAAGCCACACAAAAAAATGGCTCCAGAATGTATCATTATAGTTTTTTTTTCTTACTCCTCTTTATAACCCGTAAAGATTTTTTCTACCTGTGGGGCAAAGTTTAAACATTTCCAGCTGTCACTGTCTGGCCCCAGGTTAATTTTTGCAACTGTATCTCACAAATGTTCCTACCTTCTTTTCTTCCAACTAGGTCAGCTTGCTGCCCCTCAAATAAATATTTTGTGTAATTCTGTCTCATCATTATATGAGGCTGTCTGCATGCATGAGATTTTCCCAAAAGCTGTTTCCATGATCGATACCAGTCTTCTGCTTCTTTGAATTCCTAGGGTGCTTATTGTCTCTACTACTTATTTGACAGTGCTGGCTTTATTTTCCTTTTCTATTGTGCCTTGCTCTCTCTGTGGATATGGAGTATACCTGTTCAGTGTTCCCATTCTATATTGCTTTTATTGTATCATGACGTTTTCACAAACATGACCATCATTTCATTCAGTTATAACCTGATGGGGAACTTTGTTAGCCAATCATCTTTCAGAGGTGGGTCTTAGTTAAGACATGGCTTCGCTGGGACCCAAGGTAAAATGTGTACACCTCCAGGTGCTCTCTCTCTGCACCTTTTCCCGCGGGACATTGCTGTACTTAGATTTCTTGTTTCCTGTTTCATGAGTTTTTTCCTTATAATAAATATTTATAATAAATAAAATATAATTGTTTTATCCTTAACTAGCCTGGTTATTTTAACAATAATCATTTGCTTTCCAAAGTTTTCCTTCAGTTGGTTTTCGAGGCAAGCTTCCGCACAACCCAGAACCATATTTGTTCTTGGTAAACAGTTACTCACCACAATCTTTTTGTGGTGGTGGTGTAGTGTTTTGCACACGCTATTCCAGAAATCTGCACACCCAGATCGTTCCCATTTTAATCTTTACTGGTGTCTGTATGGTATATCTTTTGGAGTGTGTACTTGTGCTTGTGGGTGCCAGTGCACATGTTTGTGAGGGTGCATAGGTAAATGTATATGTGAATGTGGAAGCCAGAGGTCAAACTAAGGTGCAGTTCACTTTTTCTTGACAGGGCCTATTGTTGCTCTGAGGTTGTCAAGTAGGCTAGGCTGGCTGGTTTGAGAACACTGAGAATCCATCTATCTTCCTCTTTCTAGGACTGAGGTTACAAATAAACAACCATGCCCACCTATTTTCTTTCTTATGTAGATTCTGGGGCTTGAATTTAGATATTCGTGCTTGCCTGACAAACATACTACCTACTGAGCAAGGTGTATTTTGCTCCTTTTCTTTTTCATTCTTTCTCCGTGGAATTCCTCTTTTGTGTGTGATACCCATTGCACAAACATGCACATATGAAGGCAAGCATATGGGTTATCACGTGGTCATCTGAGGAGTACCTTGTGTATCAGTTCTTACCTTCCACCTTAAGGTAGGGTTTCCTGGCCTCTGATTTTTCTAGGCTAGCTGGCCATGAGCTCCCAGGGACTCTGCTGTCTCTTTCTCCATCTCTCTAAAGGAGTGCTGGGATTACAGATACCAGAGCTACTGTGTCTGTCCTTTACAGAGGTTCTGGAGATCTGGACTCCAGTTGTCATGCTGTTGACAAGACTTTACTAACTGTCATTTCCTCTGTTCTCCCCACCTACCTCTTTGATTCAGAGACTGTATTTCCACTAGCACGCCATTCACTTTGTGGCCTTGAACTTGAGATAATCCTTTTGACTCAAACTCACCTGATTATAGGCACTGTAGGATTTGTCAAAATAACTCAGCTTTATTATAAACTATGAGGCACACATGAGGGAGAATATGCATATTTTCTCTCTCTGAGTTTGGGTCCCTGCTTAATATTATGCTTTCTATGCCCATCTATTTTCCTGCAAATTTCCCTTTTCTGAACAGCTGATAACACCCTATTGTGTCTGTGCCGTATTTTCATTATCTATTCATTTGTAATTGGACATCTAGGTTGGTTCAATTTTATTGCTATTGTAACTACAGCAGCAATAGACATGAATGTGCACCTCCCTCCATGGTACAGAGTCCTGTGAGTATATGCCGAGGAGTGGTATAGCTGGATCATGTGGTTAGCTTTTTGTTTGTTTTGTTTTAATTCTTGAGAAAATTGTAAGCTAATCTCCATAATTGCTGTATTTATTTGATTTCTACCAGCAGTAAATAAGGATTGCTCCCCCCCCCCCCTGTACTACCTACCTTGTTCTCTCCGACATTTGCCTTTAGATTTCTGGATGTTAGTCATTCTGACTGGTGTAAGGTAAAGTCTTAAAGTAGTTTTAATTTGCAATGGCTACAGATGTTAAGCACTTTTTAAAATTACATGCTATTTATGTTTCTTTTTTGAAAAAGTGTCTGTTGATTTACTTAGCCTATTTGTTGATTCACAATTTTATTTCCTAGCCTATAGTGTGTATGTGTATATATGTTAACTGCTTAAGTATTGGTAGAGTTGTAACATTTAGAAAGGCAAGAAAGAGGCTAAAATTAAGTGATGAGAAAGGATGGAATTCAGGTAAAAGGACACATGAGTCATGAAAGAGGATATAAATACATTTTTCTTTCCTGGTTTCAAGTCAGTCATAGTTTTGTATTTTTTTTGTGGTTAACAAGTGAATAAAAAATGTAATTGATAGCAAAAGTATAAAAGCCTAAGTGAAGCTCCATCGCTTCAGAATTGCCATTCCAACTTTATGGCAGCCTGTTCACTGAGATGGACAGGCTTTGGGACTGGGCAAGTGTTTGAGTGGCTTCCTTAAACAAGCTGTGTTTTATCAAAAAATTCTTTTTATTTCTGAGTTAATTAGAACAAAACGATTTATTTAAAGATAGAATAAAATGACAAAAAGAAAAGGAAAGCCAATCGTTTAATATTTTTGCCATTCGAATATATGTTCTTATTGAGACCATGTCAAGATCAGGTAGAGTAAATAGATCTTGTGGTATTCTCTTTTTCATTTAGATGAGTATGTGTGTCACTTGTCCTTTTTTATCACAAAAGATATCCATGAAGTATTTAGGAGCAATAGTTTTGAAACAGATATCATGTTTATTTTATGTAGATGAAAGTACACACCTCAGAAATGAAAACTGAGCATGTTTGAGGTTATACATGTACTCATACACAAGTATCTACGTACGAATACACACTATCTTCTTCAGAATAATTCTCTTTGGTGGCATTGTTACTATGTATTTACAATGACTCTTAGTGAGTTAATGTTTCAGAACCAAACTGATTATTTAGACAAGCATGAGATGGTTTATTGTATGGAGAAGAGACTTGAAGAAGAGAAAATAGCATAGATGTTATTCTCCTAATTAAGAGGGGGTTGGAAAATGAGCTAAAAATAGCTGAGATGATATTCTGCTAATTAAGTGGTGCTTGGAAAATGAGCTAAAACAATATTGACTTAAGGGAAATCTACAAGTTTCAAAAGAAGAAGGGGGGAGGGTTTTTTCTGTCATTTTACTGTCCCTTTTACATGTTAAGATGAAATAGACCAGTGTTTCCTGCCTTGACTAGACATTAAAATCCTAAGGGAGGATTTTTTTTCAATTTTTTTTTTATGTCAAGACTTTACCCCAGACCAATTAAATCAGGGTCTCAGTGGCCAAGATACTTAAACAAAATCTTCTCAGGTGATTCCAGTGTACAATCAAGGTCATATAAATAC